CTCCCTTGATTGGATCAAGTTGATAGTCATACATGTCTATCACTTGAATCCATTGCTTGAGTGCGCCAGAGAGTACAAGTTGTGTCTTGATCTAGCGCAAGGTCTCATGGTCAGATTTCACATAGAAGAATCGGCCCAGGAGATAGTGTCTCCAATGGACCAGCTCTCGGTACAGGGCATCAGTGCCTGCAATCAGGTGGTCGTGGCTGCAACCCGCCCGGCCCAGCTGCACCCGACAGGCCCGGTCCAGGGGCAGATTTGGGACATGCAGGTGCAACAGGGGTTCAGCCAGGTGGTGGCATGGCCCGGCTGCGGGCCACAACTGGCTGCGGCATTTGTCGGGTCAGCGGTATAGGCCTCATGCCAATATGTGTGTGTGTGTGTGTGTGTGTGTGTGTGTGTCTGTGTATCTATAATATTCTATATGCGCACGCGTTTAGGATCAGAGTATACACGCTCATATTTTCCACCCGACCATTCACCCTGAATGAAAAATATGCAAGGCTGGGAATAGAAAGAACTTCAACAGAATAATCTCAATGTACTTGGACCAAATGAAAGTTTTGTGCATTCATTTTTTGAAGACCTGCAGAAGGCTGCTCCAGAGCGGCAACAACATGTTGGAGTTTGTCACTTCGGTTCCATGGGGGCTACAAGTGAGATTCTGGAGTGTCAGTTCAATGTCATTGGGTGGGAAACGGCCTTGCGGCAGCAGGCAGACGAACTTTGAAGTTGTGAAGCCCCTGAGTGGGCCGACGACAAACTGGCGGGATATGAGTCGCAAAAACAGGGGCGTGCCTTGCTGGTGTACGCACGCCGAGTCGTGATAGTGGACATGGGTGGGTGAAGTTGGAAAATCTGCAATTTTTTTTTTTTAATATGAAAATATCCATGGGTGAGATGAGATGAGATGAGAAACATCACAAACTCATCAAATCCAAAAGCAAAGACTCGAAGAGTCGACAAGATGAAAACAACAACAAATGATACTTCCTTGAAAACGTTCCACACACTCCGTGAACCGCCGCACAATTCGACAAGCTCGCCTATGTCCGTTCCTATGTTAGTAGTGTCGAACATAGACCCAAAGAGGTCGAGTCACTATTGTGTCATCCTATTTATATTCACGCAGAATCCTACTAATCGCTGAAGAACTACCGAAAAAACTACCGAAAAAAGGTTAACGAAATCGTCGGGAGCACCCAGCCGACGGTTCGAAACCGTTAAACCACACTCAAAATGAAACGTGGTATCTGCTCTGGCTCAGGCGAACCGAGGTTCGAACATCACACCGCACTAACAAAACCAAATCATAGGCAAGAAAACGCGAAAAAGTCTTAAGCGTAAGCGACTGGCCCTCGTTGGATGGACCGAGGGAACGAGCCCAAGAGCCGATATCACCCTGTCTAAAACTGACCCTGTCAATCCGAATATCCTTGGCAAAGGGCAATTGGCTTTGGTTGAACGAGCCTAAGAACCGAAAAACCCTGTCCGGTACCAACCCTGTCGGTTCAACATATAATGCAAAGACAGGGTAAAAAGCGTCGATAAGCAAAATTAGAGTCCTATTACGCAAAACATAAAACCCAGAAAAACAAAACAAAACAAAGAAAGATCAGCTTCCACAAATGAAGTCGACGGTCTGTTGCCATATTGCACCCCTTCGAACCGCGAAACGCTTGAGAACACGCACGAAGAACTCATGTGTAAAGTCCTTCAACATCAATTCCTTTTCCAAGGTAAGGACACGTACTGGGATCGCAGACCTGATGGTTGTGTTCCGATTGATACGATGCAGGCCACTACCGATGATCGCACTTTTTTGCCGTTTACACCCCCAGGAATGGAAGGACTGACCATTTAAAACCGTCAGCTTATCGCAAGTCCACACACAATCCTCATTTTTGCACAATTGCACATTCCCCAAGAAAGGGTAGGTTTGGGACGTGTGGATGCGACAACCCAAGAACTCCAATGTGCCGGAGCCATCTTCGGCACACTTCACTTGCAAATTACGAGGGTAGCAACTCCCGAAAGCATGCAGAACCTTCGCGCAAAAGTCTTCATCCTTGCTTGATACAGCCAGCAAGACGTCGTCGACCAGGCGAGTCGCGAAAACAAAACGAGCTGAGCACCCAAGGCTAATGAGGAACCTGTATTCAGAAAAAGCACACATAACACAGGCTAGAGGGGAGCTGGTGCTTTTTCCCATCGAAACCCCCAACTCCTGCTTTAAAAGAACACCGGTGGCGAAAAAATAAATGTGCTTAATATCTAGTATGAGGAATGTACGAATATCCTCCAAATCC